CTCTCTCTCTCTCTCTCTCTCTCTCTCTCATGGGACTTGCCGGAGGGCCGTGGGAGGGCCACATTTATATAGAGCAGGGAGGGCTGCTCGAGGGCCGGATTAAACCGGGCCGCGGGCCGCAAATGGCCCGCGGGCCGGACTTTGGACATGTCTGGCCTAGATGTACTTTTCAGTTTCAAATCTCTAGTTCCCGCGTGATGGTTCAGATGTTGGTATCCGGAACAGACCAGAGATTGCCAATAAAGGAGAATATTTCTAGCTCAGGGTTGAAACGAGAGGTCCTTGTTGGTTTCCTTGCAGATGTTTCATCACCCAACTAGGTAACATCCTCAGTCCTATGGAATGTCGGCAAGAAAACAAGCAAGCTGAGGGAGCACCAAGCACTAGAGATGTTCCAGGCCATTAGGAAGAAGTGGGCAACTCACACTTAAGAGAATAACGGAGTTGGAAGGGACCTTGGAGGTCTTCTAGTCCAACCCCCTGCTCAAGCAGGAGACCCTAGTCCATTTCAGGCAAATTGTTGTCCAATCTTTTCTTGAAAACATCCAGTGATGGAGCACCCACAACTTCTGGAGGCAGGTTGTTCCACTGGTTCATTGTTCTAACTGTCAGGAAGTTTCTCCTTAGTTCTAGGTTGCTTCTCTCCTTGATTAGTTTCCATCCGTTGCTTCTTGTCCTGCCTTCGGGTGCTTTGGAGAAGAGCTTGACTCCCTCTTCTTTGGGGCAGCCCCTGAGATACTGGAAGGCTGCTATCCTGTCCCCCCTCGTCCTTCTGTTCATTAAACTAGACATACCCAATTCCAGCAGCCTTTCCTTGTATGCTTTGGCCTCCAGTCCCCTGATCATCTTTGATGTTCTTCTCTGCACTCTTTCTAGAGTCTCAACATCTTTTTTACATCGTGGTGACCAAAACTGGATGCAGTATTCCAGGGGTGTCCCATGGTACTTTTTTCAGGAGGCAACTGGACTTTCTTGTTTTTTCTTTGAAGACGTTTCGCTTCTCATCCCAGAAGCTTCTTCAGCTCTGACTGGACGGTGGGGAGAATGGAAGGATTTATACTGCTTGCAGACAACTGGTCCTTTGCCTTCTTTGAGAGGGTCGTTGAGGCCACTTGGAGGTTTATCTGTGTCCTCATGGAACTTCCTTATTATGCTTTGAACACATTTCCCTTCTCATCCCAGAAGCTTCTTCAGCTCTGACTGGCTGGCGGGGAAGGGAAGGATTCAGAGTCTGAGCTGAAGAAGCTTCTTGGATGAGAAGCAAAACGTCTTCAGAGAAACACAAGACAGTCCAGTTGCCTCCTGAAAAAAGCATCTTTGGGACAACCATGGACCTGGATGACGGACAACCTCCATAGACGTTTATTCCAGGTGTGTTCTTACCAAGGCACTATTAACCTTCTTTTCGTTTCATTAGGCTAGACCAGGGGTAGGCAACCTTGGCTCTTTTATGACTCGTGGACTTCAACTCCCAGAATTCCTGAGCCAGCCATGCTGAGGGAAAAGGGAGAGGTTTCCAAGCTGAGCCATGCTTGCTGAGGAATTCTGGGAGTTGAAGTCCATGAGTCATGAAGGGGCCATAATTCCCCCATGCTGGCTCAGGAATTCTGGGAGTTGAAGTCCACGAGTCATGAGGGGGGCCATAGTTCCCTCATGCTGGCTCAGGAATTCTGGGAGTTGAAGTCTGCGAATCATGAAGGGGCCATAGTTGGGGGTACGACCGAGTCCTTAAGACCCTCAACTTCAGGTCCTCAGTACTCCCCCCGGTATCAAGGGGGTACGACCGTGTCCTTAAGACCCTCAACTTCAGGTGTTCAGTACTCCCCCCGGTATCAAGAGGTATGCTGGCTCAGGAATTCTGGGAGTTGAAGTCCACGAGTCATGAAGAGGCCACAGTTCCCTCATGCTGGCTCAGGAATTCTGGGAGTTGAAGTCCACGAGTCATGAGGGGGCCATAGTTCCCCCATGCTGGCTGAGGAATTCTGGGAGTTGAAGTCCATGAGTCATGAGGGGGGCCATAGTTCCCCCATGCTGGCTCAGGAATTCTGGGAGTTGAAGTCCGTGAGTCATGAAGGGGCCAAAGTTTCCCTCATGCTGGCTCAGGAATTCTGGGAGTTGAAGTCCACCAGTCATAAAAGAGCCAAGGTTGCCTACCCCTGGGCTAGACCTTTCATTAAACTTGACCAAGCCGAGTCTGCTCCATCCGGACCGTGTCTCTTCTGAACCCATCAGGAATCCTTACAGCATTCTCCGCAAAGGACGTACATCCGTCTTCGGCTAACAAAAGGCTGTCGAGAGTTCAAGGGGAAAATCTTTCCGGCCGGCTTCCTGAGTCTGCATTGTCTTCCTAGGAAATGTGCAAACAGACGGTCCGCTGCTGCCTGGAGCGTCGAGACAAGGAAGAGGCTCCCTTGTTGACCTAAACCATTGTTTATTTCGTGTCTGGGGTGGGGAAGAAGAAGAAGTAGGGATCCCGTTGTTCCTCCGCCCTCCGGCCGCAGCTGAGATCACACGGCGTCTGCGGTGGTGGTGCTGCTTCTTGCAAACGGGAAGTTCCCAGGTTTCAAACTTCTTCAAAGAAAAACAAAAAAGAGACAAATGAAACGTGGAAGACATGCCCTGCTAGCTTTCTGATGCACTCCTTGTGATCTGTGTGTGTGTGTGTGTGTGTGTGTCTGTTTGTGGATGAATGTAGGTGTATTGTTCTACCCCTGTCGTAAGGTGCAGAGCTGAGGCCTGGATGATGATCTTGTTCTGTAACAACTGTGTCATTAGGTTAATAATAATAATAATAATAATAATAATAATAATAGTAATAATAGTAATAATAGTAATAATAGTAATGATGATGATGAAAAGGAGGAGGAGGAGGAGGAGGAGGAGAAGAAAAAGAAGAAGAAGAAGAAGAAGAAGAAGAAGAAGAAGAAGAAGAAGAAGAGTAGTAGTAGTAGTAGTAGTAGTAGTAGTAGTAGTAGTAGTAGTAGTAGTAGTAGTAGTAGTAGTAGTAGTAGTAGTTGGAAAGGACCTTAGAGGACATATAGTCCAACCCCCTGCTCAGGCAGGAAACCCTATACCATTTCTGACAAATGGTTGTCCAGTCTCTTCTTAAAAACGTCCAGTGTTGGAGCATCCACAGCTTCTGGAGGCAGGTGGTTCCACCGGTTAATTGTTCTGACTGTCAAGAAATTCCTCCTTAGTTCTAGGTCTTCTAGTCCAAGCAGGAAAACGTATATCATTCTGAACAAATCTTCTATAACTGTCTAATCTCTTCTCTGAAAACCTCCAGCGATGGAGGACCCACCAATTCTGGAGTTAGAAGGTAGTTATTATTATTATTATTATTATTATTATTATTATTATTATTATTATTGATAATCGCACAGTCAGCCAGATGTTCAGACTGGATTTGGCATTTTTGTCTACCTATCGAGTCCTTCCCAAGGACCTGGGATAGGCAGATGTGGATGTTTGATGGTATTACAGATCTCGTCGCAGGATGGAAGCGGTTCCTAGTAAGGCTGCCTTTTGCAATTGACTAATGGCGAATCTGTCAATGTCGATGATGGTGTCCAAGTGGTGCTCCAGTTGTTTTGGGATTGCACCCGAGGCGCCTATGACTATTGGTACTACCCTTGCTTGCCTTTGCCACAGTCTTTCTCTTTCTATTTGTAGGTCTTTGTGTTTTGTTATCTTCTCCTGTTCTTTCTCGTCTATTCGGCTGTTTCCAGGCACTGCCACGTCCACTATCCAGACCTTGTCTTTCTTATCGACAATTGTTAAGTCCGGGGTGTTATGTTGCAGGTGCTTGTCTGTTTGAATTCTGAAGTCCCAGAGCAGTTTAACTTTATCATTTTCTATGACTTTCTCTATGATCCCACCAGTTCTTGCTTACAGCAAATGATATTTCTTGCAGATCCTCCAATTATTATTATTATTATTATTATTATTATTATTATTATTATCATCATCATCATCATCATCATCATCATCATCATCATCATCATCTCAAAAGTTTTCATTTCTATATTGAACAGTGTGTTGTCTAGGTATACAAGTATTAGAATATAATAATCATCACATTCCTAACAATCTTATCAAAATACAATCCTATACTCCTCGGAAGTAGCAATCATATTGTTAAAAATAGTATTTCCCACATTCGCATTAATTGCATACCGATCCAAATATTTACCAATCCATTATACATCTTCCTCACGGAATCCACATTTTCTCCTATTTCCAACTTTCTAACCTCTGATCTTGGGTTCCTTATGAACAGGACTTCATCCATCCTCCTAGTAAGATCCTGAAAGTAGTAGGCTTCCCGTGGGACATTCCTTTAGTTTTGGATTTTTATCAATACCCATTCTTGCTGCAGAGGGTATGGAGGGCAATTAAATGTACTTTCCATGAACTTGAAATTTCTTTACCTTCTGTTATTCCCTTCATCTGCCTTTCAGCCACAAATCAAAGGCTCAAAACCTGTGTACATTATATGCATTGTTCCATATATAGGCCACTCCTAAGCTAATGTTCTGAGCTTAGGCTTTGTTTGCTAAAATGGGATTTATTGATTCAGTAAACCCCCCGTTTGTCAGCGTGCGGGAATGACCCAGGTTGTCAAAAACAGGTCTTTGATTCAATGCTAGCATTTCACGGTCTGTGTCCCGGGTGTGACCCTGGAGCCTGCAAAAGAATGTATTTCATAAACATAGAGGTGAATTTTGCTTTTCCTTCGATAGACAGACCTGCCTGTTCATGTGTTCGTTTGAAGAACCCGAGCCAAGGCCGATTGCAGAATCTGGAACACGGGTTGCGTTGAGCCCACTCGGTGAACATACGCCATGAAATAAATTAATTAATTAAAAAACAGAACGTAGGCTTAAAGTGATTATGGTATTTTATTTCTCTCTAGGCCAAAGGCAAGGAAAGACAGTGGTTAAGGCACCAAGCCGTTGGAGAATTGGACGATGCCAAGATCATCGATAGTCTGACCGGGGAAAAAACCATCTACAAGCGACGTGGAGAACTTGACCCACAGGTACGTTAAATGTTATAAACCAGCTCCTTGACCAGTTGTTTTCCTAGTCTTTGTGTGTAATTTCACTGAAAAAAAGGGACATCACGGGGAAAATTAACCCCTTCTCAGGTCTGGGTTCACGCCTAACCAGCACAAACTCTCTCCAACACAATCATGAATAATTTCTGGAAATTTCCCCAGCTGGTTGAGATGACAGTTGACATATTATGGCCGTGAATCACAGCGACTACAGTGAGTTTATTGGCATGGTTTCTTAGCGACGTGGGCAACACAAAATGGATTGAATCTCTGACTCTGCTTGCCCAGATGTGTGCATCTGAAGATCTGTGCAGGTCTAATCAGGGTTGGCGATATATGTGACTGGCGCGTGGGCTATTCTAATCCAGTGTTTCCCATCCGTGGCTACTTTTAAGATACGTGGATTTCAACCCATGCTGGCTGGGGAATTCTGGGAGTTGAAGTCCGCACGTCTTAAGTTGAGAATCACCATCTCTAATCAGATGGTTCCATAGATGTTGCTGCTAGACATCTGGGTCTTGACTGGGGAATTCTGGGCGTTGAAGTCCACATATCAGTAGTTGAGAAGGACTGCTCTAACCAGATGGTTCCATAGATGTTGCTTCTGCACATCTGGGTGTTGGCTAGGGAATTCTGGGAGTTGAAGTCCATATGTATTACATTGAGAAACTCTAACCAGATAGTTCCATAGATGTTGCTTCTGGACATCTGGCTGTTGGCTGGGGAATTCTGGGAGTTGAAGGCCACACATCTTAAGTTGAGAAACTCTAACCAGATGATTCCATAAATGTTGCTTCTGGACATCTGGGTGTTGGCTGGGGAATTCTGGGAGTTGAAGGCCACACATCTTAAGTTGAGAAACTCTAACCAGATGGTTCCATAGATGTTGCTGCTAGACATCTGGGTCTTGACTGGGGGATTCTGGGAGTTGAAGTCCACACATCTTATGTTGAGGAACGCCGCTCTAACCAGATAGTTCCACAGAGGTCACTTGTGGACATGTGGATCTTGGCCCCGGTTGACACGTGATTTTTTTAAATTTGTCATCTCTCCCTTTAAAGCTTGGAAGTCCTCAGCAGAAATGCAAGCGCCTCTCGCTGCTGGTGGACGTCTCCGGCAGCATGTACCGTTTCAACGGCGTGGACAGACGACTGGAGCGGTCCATGGAAGCCGTGTGCATGGTTATGGAAGCCTTTGAGAACTACGAGCAGAAATTTAAGGTGACTCTCGGATGGAACCACATCTGACTAGTCGTAGGTAGATAGGTTGCTTAGGAGAAAGCAAAGAGTAGTGGCCAAAATGGTGGAAACCTTTGGGGAAAAGTGTACAGTAGAAATATCCACCTTTGGTTAAGTTTCCACCCATTTTTCTTCTAATTTCTTTATAACTGTGTAGCCTTGTTCACGTAATAATTACTATTTTACATCGCTTTCTGGGCGATCAGTCAACTCTTTGCACCCTTACTTTAATTTTATTACGTTTTACAAGCTCACTAAATGAAAGAACTCCAAAAAACCCAACCAACTGGATAGCTATCACATAACACACTGACAAATGTCCTCCTCTCAGCTTCAATACATGACATCAATCACTGGATCCCACCGTGATCTGATTGGCTCATTGCCAAAACAAGATGACGCCCGATTGGCTCTCTAAACACTCATGCTCATTGGCTACAATCAGGTGAAGGAACACTACCTGAGGTCAACCTAAGCAAGTTGTGCTTCCTTTTTCTGGTTATTTGGCTATCACTTTTCATAGGATACAGTACAGATAATTGAACAAGCTCTGTTGCATTACGTTCTCGATTAAATTATCTTTCCATTGATATATAACTTTATGGTACTACTGCAAAAAAAAGGGTGTCATTAGCCATCAAACCTCAAAAATACACTTTTTCCCAAAAAGTTTCCACGATTTTGGCCACTCCTGTAAAAGATTTGCCCTCCTGGATCTCACAGAGTCTCAAAATCGGTTAGCTATTTGACGAGCACGCCGAGTGTCTTAAGTGTTACATTTTTAACAAACCCAATTCAGGTAGTCCTCGATTTACGACCTCAACTGAGCCCAAGGTTTCTGTCGCTAAGCGAGACAGCGAAGTGAGTTTTGTCCCATTTTTACCACCTTCCTCGCCAGAGCCGTTAAGCGAATCACGGCAGTGGTGAAATTAGCAACACCGTTGTTAATTGAGTCCGGCATCCCTGTTGACTTTGCTCGTCCGAAGGCCGCAAGAAGGGATCACGTGACACACACACACACGCACACGGAACGCTGCCACCGTCGTAAATATAGCACATGCCAGCCGCCAAGGATCCGAATTTGGATCACGTGATCCCAGGGATGCTGTAAGGGCGAAAAACAATCACACGTCCCAATTTTTCAGTGCCGTCGTAGCCTCGGTCCCTAAACGGATTGTTATAAGTCAAGGACTACCTTGGCATATTAGCAACAGGATTTTCCATCACAAGAACCAACGTTGGTGTGTGTGTGTGTGTGTGTTAGATAGTGCAACAATGCTGCAAAAGGGTAACCTTGGCTCTTTTTTTTTTGTTTAAATACGACAACGGATGTCTTTGCTGCTTCAGCATCTTTGCTCCCCTCTTTTCCCACGCAGTACAATATCCTCGCCCACTCGGGAGACGGATTCAACATTGTCCTAGTCCCCAACGAGAACGTGCCCAAGGACAATAAGCAAAGACTAGAGATCCTAAAGGTACAGGGTGGTTTTTTTTAAAAAAAATTCACAAAATGTTTCCCTTTTAGCGAAAGAGTTTTCTCATTTTGGCTGTGGTTTTTTTCCTCCAGGTTTGTTTCCGTATAATTCCTGAACGTTTCGTTACCGAACTAGCTAACGCCATCAGCGGGATTTTAATTGTGCTGTCCTCCTGGGTGGAGCTATATTTGAATTCCGAGCAGCTGATTGGTTTCTCTGGTTGATTGGCACTTCAGATGGCCTTGGCTTCTTCCATGTTGATACGTTGGATCTAAATCAATATGTTGGTTAACTGCTCCTTGGGTGGAAGATCGGGTCTCAATAAGTTGACGCCCGTCTAACTTTGAAATAATAGGAAATACTCGTAGCTGGGGTTTTAGATTTGATTTGATTTATTTTTTTTAAAAATCTAAAACCCCAGCTATAAATATTTCCTATTATTTCAAGGTTTTTTTAATTGCTCCCATGCAGGAGAGAGAGAAGGAAGACTAGAAACCTAGTAAAAACTCTGCAGGAAAACAGTGAGATTTAGGTGCAGTAGATAAATATCAGATTATGTTTACGGAGATTCTCAAGCATCCAGTCCTGGTTGTCCCAACGCTGCTTTTCTTTTCTCTTTTTCCTTTCCTTTCCTTTCTTCTCCTCTCCTCTCCTTTCTTTTCTCTCCTCTCCTCTTCTTTCCTTTCCTCTCCTCTCCTCTCCTCTCCTTTCTTTCCTCTCCTCTCCTCTTCTTTCCTTTCTTTTCTTTTCCTTTCCTTTCCTCTTTTCTTTTCCTTTCCTCTCCTCTCCTCTCCTTTCTTTTCTCTCCTCTCCTCTTCTTTCCTTTCCTCTCCTTTCTTTCCTCTCCTCTCCTCTCTTCTCCTCTCCTCTCCTCTCCTTTCTTTTCTTTTCTCTCCTCTCCTCTTCTTTCCTTTCCTTTCCTTTCCTTTCCTTCCCTTTCTTTTCTTTTCCTTTCCTTTCCTCTCTTTTCTTTTCCTTTCCTCTCCTCTCTTCTCCTCTCCTATCCTTTCTTTTCTCTCCTCTCCTCTCCTCTTGTCCTCTCCTTTATTTTCTCTCCTCCTCTCCTTTCTTTCCTTTCCTCTCCTCTCCTCTCTTTCCTTTCCTTTCTTTTCCTTTCCTTTCCTTTCTTTTCTTTTCCAAAAGGCAACTGGACTTTCTTGAGGGTTTTTTTTCCCTTTGAGAATCCCAGAATCTTGAGCTAGAACTGAAAGAAGCTCCATTACCAAGAAAGCCCAGTTGCCTTTTCAAGAAAAGCACCTTTGGGATAAGAGCGTATTGTTTTTAATCTTTGAATTTATTGAATTAACTGACTGGTTTTTCTTTCCCGTGGAGGCAGAAATAGCGCTCCCCTCATGACGGGCTGTCAGCGCATCCTAAGAGGAAATCCTGCTTTCTTCTCATTTCTTGACCTAATTCTTGTAGAGCAGCCTTGAACATAAGCGGCAGATAATGTCACCTTAATACTTGGATTAAGCCTCTTAACTGGCATAAATAAACATTAATGCCTTAATGCCCTAGAGCAGGAAAGTCACCCAGGTCAAGCGGTGACTTCCAAAGAGGGAGAGAACTTCACCTCAGCTGAATTCAGGTAGTCCTCTATTTACGACCGCTTGTTTAGTCTTGCCCCCCCAGCAATCTGGGTCCTCATTTTACTGACCTCGGAAGGATGGAAAGCTGAGTCAACCTGGAGCCGGTCAGGATCGAACTGCTGGCAGTGGGCAGAGTCAGCCTGCAATGCAGCATTCTAGCCATGGCACCACCAGGGCAGATGATAGATAGATGATAGATAGATAGATAGATAGATAGATAGATAGATAGATAGATAGATAGATAGATAGATAGATAGATAGATAGATAGATAGATAGATTGACAGATGATAGATGATAAAGAGATGAGAGAGATGATAAAGGGATTGTAGATAGATATAGATAGATAGATAGATAGATAGATAGATAGATAGATAGATAGATAGATAGATAGATAGATAGATAGATATAGACAGACAGACAGACAGACAGACAGACAGATAGATAGATAGATAGATAGATAGATAGATAGATAGATAGATAGATAGTGATAGAGTGATAAATTGACACAGATGATAGATGGTAAAGAGATGAGAGAGAGAGATGATAAAGGGATTGTAGATAGATAGATAGATAGACAGACAGACAGACAGACAGACAGACAGACAGACAGACAGACATAGACGGATAGATAGACGGATAGATGGATAGACAGATAGATAGATAGATGGATGGGTGGCTGAGATAGATAGATAGATAGATAGATAGATAGATAGATAGATAGATAGATAGATAGATAGATAGATAGATAGATAGATAGATAGATAGATAGATGATAGATAGATAGATAGATAGATAGATAGATAGATAGATAGATAGATAGATAGGTATATATGGATGAGATAGAGAGAGAGAAAATAATGGATGGATGGATGGATGGATGGATGGATGGATGGATGGATGGATGGATGGATGGATGAGACAGAGAGAGATGGATGAGATAGATAGATAGACAGACAGACAGACAGACAGACAGACACATAGACACATAGACAGACAGAAATAGGTAGATACACGGATAGATAGATAGATAGATAGATAGATAGATAGATAGATAGATAGATAGATAGATGATAGATAGATAGATAGATAGATAGATAGATAGATAGATATACCAATACCAATAGCACTTAGACTTATATACCACTTCCCAGTACTTCACATCCCTTTCTAAGCGGTTTATAGAGTTAGCCTCTTAACCCCCAACAATCTGGGTCCTCATTTTACCGACCTCGGAAGGATGGAAAGCCGAGTCAACCTTGAGCCGGTCAGGATCAAACTGCCTTCGGATCGCTGCACACCACCACCACCCCCGTCCCCAGCTTCAGGGATCTTTATTTTTCCCCGCCCAGGTGATGCACGCCCACTCTCAGTTCTGCATGAGCGGAGATCACACCCTGGAAGGGACCGAGCACGCCATTCGGGAGATCGCCAAAGACGACGCCGACGAGTATTTCGTCATCGTCCTAAGCGACGCCAATCTGGAGCGATACGGTATCCCGCCCGCACGATTTGCACAGGCCTTGACGATCGATCCCAAAGTGAACGCCTTCGCCATCTTCATTGGGTCCCTGGGGGATCAAGCAGACAGGTAAGCTGAAGACCCCACAGCTCAGGAGGAATCGTAAGGAATCTAAGGCACGGTGGTTAGCGAGCTTTCTGGCCAAATCTTCCTAGATCCCATTCCTGGGAGCCAATACCTGTGTAGAAAAGGAAGGGTAGGGGTGATCTTCTGACTTGTTCCACTCCCAGCCGTACAGGTGCTAAAAATGGAACTTCTTGTTGTTAATTGCGAAGTCGTGTCCGACCTATCGCGACCCCATGGACGACGTTCCTCCAGGCCTTCCTGTCCTCTGCTATCTCCTGGAGTCCATTGAAGCTCACGCCTCCTGCTTCAGGGACTCCCTCCAGCCACCTCACTCTCTGTCGTCCCCTTCTTCTCTTGCCCTCCATCTTTCCCAGTATTAGGCTCTTCTCCAGGGAGTCCTTCCTTCTCATTAGGTGGCCAAAGGACTTGAGTTTCAACTTCAGGATCTGGCCTTCTAAAGAGCAGTCGGGGTTGATCTCCTCCAGGCCTTCCTGTCCTCTGCCATCTCCTGGAGTCCATTGAAGCTCACGCCTCCTGCTTCAGGGACTCCCTCCAGCCATCTCCTTCTCTGTCATCCCCTTCTTCTCTTGCCCTCCATCTTTCCCAGCATCAGGCTCTTCTCCAGGGAGTCCTTCCTTCTCATGAGGTGGCCAAAGCACTTGAGTTTCAACTTCAGGATCTGGCCTTCTCAAGAGCAGTCGGGGTTGATCTCCTCCAGGATTGACCGGTTGGATCGCCTTGCAGTCCAGGGGACTCGCAGGAGTCTTCTCCAGCACCAGAGTTCAAAGGCCTCCATTCTTTGGCGCTCAGCCTTTCTTATGGTCCAACTTTCACAGCCGTACATTGCAACTGGGAAAAAATGGAACTAAAAATGTTTTCCCCAATATAAGACCCCACCGGAAAATAAGCCCTTGCATGATTTTTCAGGATGCTCGTAATATAAGTCCCACCGCAAAAATAAGATCGTCAGTTAGATGGACGCATTTAATACCAAATTTCCCCGAATATAAGCCCTAACTGGAAAATAAGCCCGGCCTAATGCGTCTTTTGGAGCAAAAATTAATATAAGACCCGGTCTTATTTTCGGGAAAA